GTCCAAATGTGAGTTCTGGCTGAATGAAGTTAGTTTTCTTGGACATGTGGTTTCTAAGAATGGTATTGCAGTGGATCCTACAAAAGTAGAAGCAATATCTCAGTGGGAAGCGCCGAAGACTGTTTCTGAAATCAGAAGTTTTCTTGGTCTTGCAGGTTATTACAGAAAGTTTATCGAAGGATTCTCAAAGTTAGCATTGCCGTTGACGAAGTTGACTCGTAAAGGACAAGCGTTTATTTGGGATTCTGATTGTGAGAAAGGTTTCCAAGAATTGAAGCGGAGATTGACTAGTGCTCCTATTCTGATTTTGCCGAATCCGGTGGAATCTTTTATGGTTTATTGTGATGCATCTCTGATGGGATTAGGTGGTGTTCTAATGCAGAATCAACAGGTAGTTGCGTATGCTTCGAGACAGTTGAAGGTTCACGAAAGGAACTATCCTACTCATGACTTAGAGTTAGCAGCAGTTGTGTTTGTCTTGAAATTGTGGAGACATTATCTGTATGGTTCGAGATTTGAAGTGTATAGTGATCATAAGAGTTTGAAGTATCTTTTCGATCAGAAAGAGCTCAATATGAGGCAAAGAAGGTGGTTGGAATTTCTCAAAGATTATGATTTTGGTTTGAATTACCATCCTGGTAAGGCAAATGTGGTTGCATATGCTTTGAGCAGGAAATCCTTGCATATGTCTATGATGATGGTTCGTGAATTGGAGTTAATTGAACAATTCCGAGATTTGAGTTTAATTTGTGAAAGTACTCCGAAGTGTGTTCGTTTGGGTATGTTGAAACTTACTAGTGGTATTCTAGAAGAGATCAGGATCGGGCAGAAATCTGATGTTAATTTAGTTGATAAATTGACATTGATCAACCAAGGTCAAGGTGGTGAGTTTAGAATTGATGAAAATGATGTTATGAGATTTGGCGATAGAGTTTGTGTTCCTGATGTTGCAGAAATCAAGAAGAGTATATTAGAGGAAGGACATCGCAGTGGGATGAGTATTCATCCGGGTGCCACGAAAATGTATCATGATTTGAAGAAATTGTTTTGGTGGCCGGGAATGAAAAAGGAAATAGCTGAATTTGTGTATGCATGTCTAATCTGTCAGAAATCGAAGATTGAGCATCAGAAGCCGTCTGGATTTATGCAACCGATGTTTATTCCAGAATGGAAGTGGGATAGTATTTCTATGGATTTTGTATCCGGGTTGCCAAGGACTCCTAAGAATTGTGAAGCGATATGGGTTGTTGTGGATAGACTGACTAAGTCTGCTCATTTTATACCGGTGCGAATGGATTACTCAATGGAGAGATTGGCACAGTTGTATATTGAGAAAATAGTGAGTTTGCATGGAGTTCCTTCTAGTATTGTGTCAGATAGAGATCCGAGGTTCACTTTGAAATTTTGGGAAGGATTGCAGAAGGCTTTGGGTACTAAATTGAGGTTGAGTTCAGCTTATCATCCTCAGACTGATGGACAGACGGAGAGGACGATTCAATCGTTAGAAGATTTATTGCGTGCTTGTGTTTTAGAGAAGGGTGGAGCTTGGGATAGCTATTTGCCATTGATTGAATTTACTTATAACAATAGTTACCATTCGAGTATTGGTATGGCTCCGTTTGAGGCATTGTATGGTAGACGGTGTAGAACGCCTTTGTGTTGGTATGAATCTGGAGAGAGTTCAATAATTGGGCCAGAGATTGTTCAGCAGACTACTGAAAAGATCAAATTGATTCAAGAGAAGATGAGAGCTTCTCAGAGCCTTCAGAAAAGTTATCATGATAAGAGGAGGAAGAATTTAGAATTCAGTGCTGGAGATCATGTGTTTATGAGAGTTACTCTGATGACGGGTATTGGTCGAGCGTTGAAATCTAAGAAGTTGACTCCGTGTTTTATTGGTCCGTTTCAGATTACGGAAAGAGTTGGAGAAGTTGCTTATCGTATTGCTTTACCTCCGAGACTTGCGAATTTGCATGATGTTTTTCATGTTTCTCAGTTGAGGAGATACATTCCAGACCCATCTCATGTAATCCAAGTAGATGATGTACAGGTGAGAGATAACGTGACAGTAGAAACATTGCCTATGAGGATAGAAGATCGGGAAGTGAAACAGTTAAGGGGTAAAGAGATAGCATTAGTGAAGGTTGCTTGGGGAGGCCCAGCAGAGGGAAATATTACTTGGGAACTGGAGAGCCAGATGAAAGAGGCTTATCCGGAACTGTTAGTCTAAGGTATGTTTTCGAGGACGAAAACTCTTTTAGTGGGGGAGAGTTGTAACACCCCAGTTTTAATTATTTGATTTATTTAATTGGGAATTTATTTTATTAGAATTAATAAAATAAAAAGAATTATTTATTTTGGAATACTTAAAGAAAATAAAAGAAATAAGAAAATATTGGGTTTTTAAGTTATTGGGCTTGGATGTCGTTAGTAAAGAGTGGGGGTGCAAAAGAAATAAGGATATATATTTTGGAACTTAAGTTATTTCTCACTTTTCACGATAAAACAGAATTTGGAGATATTTGGGATTGGAACTCTGAAGAACGAAGAACAATCGCTCAAGAGTTCAAAGCTGCAATTTGATAAGGTAAGGGGGGCTACTACTCGATTTACTTTTGCTTATAGGTTTAGGTACGATTGATTTTGGATAATCGTAGGGAGAAACCCCAATTTTTAGATGTTCTTAGGGATCAATAACCTTAGGGTTGAACCTTGTTAGAAAAGGTTTAGGTTCCCAAATTTTATGAATCAATTAGGGATTTTAGGTTCCTATGGTGGATTTGGAGTATATTTGTATGATCGAGAGTTTCCCTTAGGTAATTCTAGGGATAACCTCAATGTTGTTAGGATTTCCCTAAAGGACGGGTAATATGTAACTTAAGGTCAATTTTATAAAACTTGTTGTTGATGAAAGAATTGTTGATAAAATAGGATGTTTTGAGACGAAAATTCTGAGTTGTGTATGATTTGAAAAATAAGACCTTAAGTGAAGTAATGTTGTCCTTAAGATTGGAAATTGACTAACGTAGAGGAGAATTGTGTTTCCAATTGATGTGTTGCTTTGAGTTATGCAAAATTGATGTCGTTATGTACCGAAATGCACGTTTTGGCTGGTATTTTTCGTGTTTGGCTGCTGTTCTGAGAATGCTGCAGGTACAGGAATATTTGTACGCGCTCATCAACACGGGCCGTGTTGCTGCACACGGGCACCCGTGTTGATCTTCTGTATTGGTAAAAATAATGTGTTTCTGGACACATTTCCACACGGGCCGTGTTGCTGCACACGGGCACCCGTGTTGACCTACTGTGTTGGCTTCAGAATTCTGTTTTCTGTGCATGCTGTTATGTACGGAATTGATTCTGTTTTGATGTGCAGTGTTTTATATGTTTTGAATATGCTGCTTATTGATTTCCTAGTGTTGATTGATGCTTGTATCGAATAACGTTTGTATGTTATGATACCGACACTACGTAGATTTTATTGTCATGCTTTGAGATGATGTTACCAAGCATGAATTATGATATAACTTGATATGATTGGTTGATGTTTAATAGTATGCTGAGTGATTACATGCTATCCATATCCTGTTATGATTGATGTTGTTGATGTTGCATGATATGTTTTATTGATGTTAATAGTATGCTGAGTGTTACATACTTTACATATCATGTTGCATTTGTTAATTCCCATTGTGTGGAATTAACATGGTGGCCAATATACGTGTCCGCGATTTAATGGAACGTTGAGGTGGTAGCCGTGTCCGCGATATAATGGAACGGTGAGTTATCCGTGACCGAGATTTAATGGGGCGGTAAAATGGTACCACATGCATGGGTGTGTTGCATTATATTGAATATAACATGGATGGATGATTTTCCAATGTTGTATTTAATTGATTGTATGCATGTATTGTTGCTGAATTGTTAATGATGTTTGATGTTAATTAAAAGTATGAAAAGTAATATATATTATGAATATATGAATTGTAAAGGTTTCGTAAACTATGAAACATGTTAACTGTTTGGGTGATGCCTATGGTTTTTCTGAATTGATTGTTATGAACGTATAATCAAAGGTATAATTGAGATGCTCACCCTTACAGTTGAACATTTCAGATTGAGGAGCTTCGCTCAGATGATTGGCGAAGACTTGCTGTTTCTAGTTTCTTTCGGTTTAAGTATTGTCCGGGTCATGCTCTGATAGTTGTAACTCCGGGAACGTTTGTTTGTCGAGCTGCTGTAGTCAGACTCGTTTATTTCCTTAGTATTTGGTTATAATATGATGTTGATATTTTCCAGGTGTTAATCCCTGATGATTGAAAATATTATAACTTTGGTTTTATTAAATATAATATTCCGCTGTGTAAACATGTATGAGTTGCTTCTATGTTATGCATGACAGGAACTTGTTTTTATTAAAAGAGAATTGTGACATCCTCGTTAATACATGTACTCTGAAAATATGATTTTAATTATTTGCGAAATTTTATGCGGGGTTTTAGAGGGTGTTACAAAAAGCACTTTAAAATCCTAGTACAAAGCAATATTAAGGTCGCACTCGCACACTGACACAACATAAGTAAATATTCTTCAAGTACCTAGCTAAATGTAGTAAACATATTGATATGAAGTATTTATCCATATATGTCTGTTACATGAAACTGTATTATACTAATTGATATCACAAGGCTTCACCTATAAACTTGTTATGTAGTGTGTAAAAACAAATTAAACAACCAATAATAAAACTCATCTCTTTTATTTTTCTATTGTTTATATTCAAAATAACATGTTCTCGTAAGTACTAGAATTCTGAAAATATAATTTTTTTTTTGAAGAAATGGATAAGTCATGGATTATTAAGCCACAATCATCGATTGTGTATCAAAAAGGGATACACAAAATTTATTGATTTTGCATTTAAAGGTGCAAAAGAAAACGACGTAGTAATATGTCCTTGCAAACGTTGCGGTTTCAGAAAATTAAAGAGTAGGAGTGACATGTTCGACCACTTAAGTTGGTCACCATTTCGGCAAGGATACACCATGTGGATCCATCACGGAGAGTCTTTTGTACGATCTAGTACTATCTCCCCTAGTACTACTCCAAGTATGGTAGAAGATACTAACATTGTCGAAGAACCTATTCAGAACATGATCAATGATGCATTTGGAGTTTATGGGAATCATGCAAATGAAATACCATCTGCGTCAAATTTGGAGATTAAACAAGAAGATTATGTGATGCCAAGCTCAACTCAGGAAAGAAACGAAGCCAAGGAGTATTATGAGTTGGCTAGAGAAGGAGAACAACCTTTATATGAAGGGTGTAGACGATATTCAAGACTATCTTTTTTGGTTAAGTTGTACCATATAAAGTGTTTATGTGGATTGAGTGAGAAGGCAATGACAATGATTTTAGAGTTAATAAAAGATGCATTTGAATATGCAAACATTCCAAGTTCATTCTATGAAGCCAAGAAATCAATCACAAAACTTGGTTTGAATTATGTAAAGATACCCGCATGTCCAAACGGTTGTATGCTTTATTGGGGAGAAGATGAGGAGAGGGAGACTTGCAAAAATTGCAACACTTCAAAATGGAAAACAAATGAGGATGTCTCTGTTAACAAGAAAAAAAAGAAAATTCCTGCCAAGGTTCTTCGTTATTTTCCATTAAAACCTCGATTACAGAGATTATTTTTGTCATCAAAAACGGCAGAGGATATGAGATGGCATGCAACAGATACTAACAATGATGGAATGTTGAGGCATCCTAGAGATTCAGAAGCTTGGAAGAAATTTGACTTGACACATACTTGGTTTTCATCAGATCCACGAAATGTGCGTCTTGCATTGGCTAGTGATGGTTTTAATCCTTTTGGTGTGATGAGTACAAACAATAGTATTTGGCCAGTTGTTCTCATACCATATAACACTCCTCCATGGGTTTGCATGAAGCAGACATCATTTATAATGTCAATGATAATTCCCGGTAAAGAGGCACCAGGAAATAATATTGATGTCTACTTACAACCATTAATCAAAGACCTGAAGGAGTTATGGACAAGTGGTGTGGATACATACGATTCTTTCAAGAAAGAGATGTTCAAGTTGCATGAAAATTTGATGTGGACTATTAGTGACTTTCCAGGGTTGGGTTCACTTTCTGGGTGGAACACATACACAGGACTTGCTTGCCCATCGTGTAACTTTCAAACTACACCTCTCCGTCTTAAAGCTAGTCGTAAATGGTGTTTTATGGGTCATCGTCGTTTCCTTGATCGGAGACACAGGTTTAGATTGAACAAGATCCGCTTTAATGGTGAACAAGAAATGCGGAGTCCACCGAGAACATTATCTGGACATGAAGTTTTTGAAAAGGTTAAAGATGTTGAAGTCATCTTTGGTAAAAAGGCAGTGAAAGAAAAATCAGTAAAAAGAACACGTGAGGAACAACCTATAGAAGGTGATAGTACACAATGTGATCCTACAAAAGGTCATCCTCAACAATGGAAAAAGAAAAGCATATTTTTTGAACTTCCGTATTGGAAAGATAATCTTCTATGCCATAATCTTGATCCGATGCATATTGAGAAAAATGTGTGCGATAATGTCGTATTTACTCTACTGAATGATAGGCAAAAGAGTAAAGACCATTATAATGCTCGAGAAGACCTTCAAAATATGGGCATAAGACCTGATCTTTGGCCTGATGAAAATGGTAAAATTTCTCCGGCTGCCGTTAGTTTAACAGGTAAAAATAAAAGGAATTTTTTAATGACTTTAAAGAATATTAGGGTGCCTGATGGTTATTCAAGCAACATTTCTAGATGTATTGACTTAGTAAATCTCAAGGTGAATGGAATGATGAAGAGTCATGATTGTCATATATTAATGGAACAACTTTTACCATTAGCCATTCGCACAACATTACCTCATGAGGTTTCAGCAGTATTGATTGAGTTGTGCTCATTCTTTAGACAATTATGTGCCAAGGTATTGAAAATTGAAGACATGGAAAAATTGCAAAACCAAATTGTCCTCACTTTATGCCATATGGAAATGTTATTTCCTCCCTCTTTCTTCACGGTTATGGTCCACTTGGTTGTTCACCTTGTTGAAGAAGTTAAACTTGGAGGTCCTGTTCATTATCGATGGATGTATCCTGTTGAAAGGTAAACTATGTGATTTTGTTCTAATGTTACTAACTTAATTAGAAAGTAGAAAGTTTTTTTAACTAGTGTTATTGTGGTTCAATGATAGGTACTTGGGAAAACATAAATCGTATGTACGTAATAAGGCAAAACCAGAAGGGTCTATTGTAGAAGGATACCGTTTTGAAGAGATTCTTACATTTTGTTCAAGATATCTAGAAAATATTGAGACTAGATGGAATCAACCTGGACGTGTAGATGACGACCCTATTGATGATATCCAAACTGCTTCACGTGTAGCTGAATTATTTCCTAGAGTTGGAAAACCTGTGGGTGGATCTTCTTATTACACCCTAACACCAACTGAAAAATTGCAGGCTCATAGACACATTTTAACAAACTGTCCAATAGTTGACGACTATCTAAAGTATGTAGTTTTATTACATTTAAGTAGTTTCATCTATACTATTAATATTTTTTTACATTTAATATCGAATAATCAAATAGGCAGTTCCGAAGTTTTACTCAAAACCAAATGAGGCGCAGTCAAAGAAGTGCTACAGAGATAGACAAGAAGGGTCATAAGGAGTTTGCGCATTGGTTCAGCAATCGTGTGCGTTTTCATACAAAAATAGATGTTTTATTGAATTGGTTTTTAATAATAACAAGACTAATTGAATGTTGTATCATGTATAGATTCGCAACAATCTTGACAACATTCATGGGCCAGATAAAGATGTTCTCATTAGTATTTCTCATGGACCTTTTGATAAAGTTAAAAGATTTACCGCGTTCAATGTCAATGGATTCAAGTTTCGAACGTTGGAACGAGAAAATCTTTAAAAAACTTAAAATACTGGAGTTTTTGGCATGTTTGGGACACGAAGTTATTCAAGCAATAGTGATACCCAAATGAGATTTGGAGGGGTCCCTTACTATGGAAGATTAATAGATATTATTGTGCTTTCCTATGATGGCTTCACAGTGCCCATGTTTAAATGTGAATGGGCTAATACCATAAACCCAAGAGGAATTAAGATAGATAAGTTGGGTTTTACCTCTATAAACTTTGCAAGACTACTACATACTAGTGAACATGAAGATAATGAGCCATATATTCAAGCATCTGAAGCTCATATGGTTTTTTATGTAGATGATGAGAGTGAACAAGGATGGAGCATACCTGTTCATTTGAAGCCAAGAGACTTGTATGACATGGGTGGAAATGATGAAATTATGACACCCATTGAGCCATATCCATCACAAAATTTGGAACAAATCTTTTCAAATGATGATCTTGGAACTTCAGCGACAAATGATGACAATAGTTAACATATAGTTTTTTATTGATAAGAATCTAGTTTGTTTGTAACTTGTGTGAGACTTAATGTATGATATTCCATTGTTACTCTATGTTCTTTGTTGCTTATCCCTAATTAATATGTTAGATGACATTGTTACTGTATGTTTTTAATTTATTGTGTTTATGTTATGTTTATTAAATTTGTATTCACTAATATATAATTTTGATGTTTACTACTTTTAGTGTACTTAATACCTATACTTGCAGTTGAAGCCTTTTGTGAGACAATGGCTACACCATATGAGAATAGTCGCCTCAAAAGAATTGCAGAGAATAAGAAAAAGTTAGCGGCTCTCAATCTTCCTACACTCTCTCAATCTCTTCACAAATCATCAGAGTCTTCTTCCAAACCATCACTGGTCAGTCATAAATTCTCTATACTTCTCCATACAAATTAATTGTACTTATTATTTACTAATATTCACTAATGTATTTTATTTAGTCTGTGAAGGGCCGTTCAAGGTTTGTACAACCTGGAGAGCTTGAAGTAAATAAGAAGCGCCTACGTTCAATTACAACTCGCAAATCATCAATAACCCCTCCACCAATGGAAACTACAATAACCCCTCCACCAATGGAAACTACAATAACCCCTCCGTCAATCCAAATTGCAAAAGATGTTGTGGTAGAAGATGAGGATGAAGATGACATGGTAGGAGATGAGGCTGATGATGTTGTGGTAGGAGATGGGACTGGAGATGTTGTATTAGGAGATGAGGCTGAAGATGTTGTGGTATGAGATGAGGCTGAAGATGATGTGGTAGGAGATGAGGCTGAAGATTTTGTATTAGAAGATGAGGCTGGAGATGTTGTGGTAGGAGATGGGACTGGAGATGTTGTGGTAGGAGATGGGACTGGAGATGTTGTTAAAGTGGCTAAATCTGAGTATTGGGATGTAAATGTCATTAGTAAGTAATTTAAGGTTTAAGTATCTATCAATAATTTAAATTTTTTACATAGTTGAGTTATGAAATTAATTTGTTTACTTTTTTAATGTGATAGACGAGGAAGGTTATGTTTCAAACACACGTTTATGTGTGAAAGACTTCGTTGCGAAATCAGAGCCTGATGGAACATGGATAATACTTGAATTCAATAAGAATGATTGTGCAGTAGGACCGGCTTCTGGTTTGCTAGCAGGATATTTCGGTATAATTATTAGAATGTTTAGAGATATTCCCATAATGTTTGAGAGTTGGAAGAATGTTCCAGCAGATACGAAAACAAAGTTTTATGAATCAAAGATAAAGGTATTATTAATAAACAATTACATATTTTTTAAATTAACTTCATGGTGATTATTATTTCCTTTGTCAACTAATATATTTTTATGTTTAGCGCCATTTTCTTGTGGATGATGGGCGTGACAAAGATTTTGTACTTGCTTCTGCTGCAAGGAAATGGAAGGAAGCCCGACATACATTGTTTCACGAATTTTATAGATGGGATCTCCCTTTGGAGGAAAATCTTCAAAATTATCCAAAATGCAGAGGCATTCCTGAAAATGACTGGGTTGTTTATGTTCAATATAGGCGGAAAGAAAAAACACGGGTAACATTAGTGTTTTTATTTGTTAGATTTCTCTGGTTTGTATGTTATCCCTATCTATAATGCATGTTTTTATTTGTTACAAATGTAGAAAATATCCCAAAAAAATTCCCAAAATAGAGCAAAATTGAAGGCTCCGCATACACTCGGATCTAAGTCGCTTGCAAGGAAGAAACATGAGTTGGTATGTCTAAATATATATGTTGTTGATCGTTTGCTTGATAGTACAAACAATTTATATTAGTTTTTATTTGCAGGAAATGAGAGATGGACGAACATACAGTAGAGGAGAAATGTATGTAGTTTCTCATAAAAAGCCTAACGGGTCATTTATCAATGAAGATGCATACAACAATAATGTAAGTACAAGTTAATTCTTTTGAAATACTGGAAAAAAAACGGTAATAGTAATAGAACCATCCCAAATAAAACTCACCATTGGAATTTATATATATAATATGGAGAAAGAGCCTGATACATGCTTGGATTCCACTTGATGACATTGTAAATGCCAATCGTGAAAATAGATAGTAACCATAGGATGATTATGGGAGGAAACATGAAAGCAATCGCGTGGGAGAAAAAATAGCTCAATTTTATTCTTGTTATATAAACAATAGCTCAATTTTTTCTTTTTCATGTGCAGAAAAAATTACAAGCTGCAATTAAGGATTCTGTGTCTGAAAATGAGGCATTTCAGAAAGTATTTGGAAAAGAAAAGCATGGATATGTTCGTAGTATGGGACTTGGAGTTACACCATCTCAAATTAATAGATCTACGAGATCGACATCTTCTTCTGCAGAAAGTGAACAAATAAAGGAAATGCAAGAAGAAATTAATGCACTTAAAGAAAAGAATTCAAAAATTGATGAATTAACACAGGCAATCATATTCTTAACGCAAAGGGACAAGGCGAGGACAAAGGAAATTGAACTCTTAATGCAAATGAAGAATTTTAGTGGAAGACAGGTATATTATTTTGACGCATTTAAAGTTAAATTTTATGAGTATTATTTTAAAGATTATTATTTTAATACCTTTTTTTAGGGATTGGAATCACCCGCTGATGGTAGACGTTCATCTGAGTCTAGCTACCGTATTGGAGATAATGGAACTTCAGGGGGGACAAATTAGACTTTGCTATGATCGAGATAATTAGATTGTGAACTTTCTCATGTATTTTTGGCATAATGATACTTATTATTATAAGATTAGGAATTGATATATTTTGGGTTTTTTGTACTACTTGAAATGATTATGGAACTCGCATTTTACATGATTATGGAACACACATTTTTTTGGATATTATAATGCTTATTTGATGTTAAATATTTTTTATTGAAATTATTTTTACTATATTACAAAGTGATAGAAAATAAAACAAAAAATAATATTATAAATAAATATATTAAAGAAGAAATAATTTAAAGAAAAAAATAACACAAAAAAAAACTATATTTAAAATTTTTTACATAGATAATAATTTAAATAAAAAATATATATAATAGAAAAATAAAAAAAAATAAAGACATAAACAAAAGTCATGGCGACAGTACCGAACCGTCGTAATCAACAATTAAATATAATCAACAAAAGTCATGACGGTATCGAACCGTCGCCATAAACAATTTAATCAATTTCAAAAGATATTCACGACAGTATCGAACCGTCGCCATCAATAATTAAAAGAAACTCAAAAGATAGTCACGACGGTATCAAACAGTCAAAAATACTTGATTATGTCAGCTCCAAACCCGTCGTAAACTTGAACGACAGTTATTGTAACGGTCACGAAATAGGTTGGGGACACACACTTCTGCGACGGTAAAACAACCGTCGTGGAAAGCAAATTGCGACGGTTTTAACCGTCGTAATCTACAAAAATACCTGTCGCAATCTGCCAATTTTCTTGTAGTGTAATATAAGAAAATAAGAATTAATTAAGACAATAACTAATAAGGAGGCAAACGAAATTTGTTATGGGAAACAGATATTTTTTCATAAACAATAGCGTCGGCCTGAACCGTCGCTAATATAAAAAAAAAATTATTTAAGACGATAAATAAAAAGGAGGTAAACGAAATTGGTGGGATGAAATGAAATTTTCGCACAAACAGTAGCATCGGTCCAAATAAACGCTTGGTCAACACCAAGTATTTTTCTCGAAATCAATCCTTTTTCAAAATATTTTCATAACAAATGCACTCGAAGGACACATGCACTAAGCTGTGAAGACGGAATGATTAAATGAATGTCCCTTTATTCTTTGTAATTGGACGCATGTTGTATAGGTTATCGTTCAAATGCTCACCTTCACTCGTGAGCTTTAGTTTTATTCGTGACAAATACATTCGCAATAAAATGGAGGGAAATGAATAATTATGTGTATGCTCCTCTTATGAAGATTCTGATAAAGACAAAGACAAGTGATATCTACTGTTTAAAACGGTAAACCAACTCTCAATAACAACAAAGAGAAACAAACAATACACAATAAAAGCTATTTAATAGCACTTTCTTTTATTTTTGATAACCCTTAGAAGCGCTATCAACTGCACCGCTATTGTGTACGATTTTGTTTAATTTCAATTTAAAAGCGCTATTAAAGTACTTTTTTTTAATATAAAAATAATAATAAAATAAAACAAAACCTTTAAAGGAGGCAAATGTAATTGGTGGGAGGAAATGAAATTTTTTGTACAAATAGTAGCATTGGCCTGAACCGTTGCTAATATAAGAAAATAAGAATTAATTAAGACAATAACTAATAAGGAGGCAAACAAAATTTGTTATGGGAAACGAATATTTTTTCATAAAAAATAGCGTCGGCCTGAACCGTCGCTAATATAAATAAAATAAAATAATTATTTAAGACAATAAATAAAAGGGAGGTAAACGAAATTGGTGGGATGAAATGAAATTTTCGCACAA